GCACCCCCGACCCCCATGCACCCCCGGCCCCCGGCGCACCCCCGCCCCCGTGCATCTCCAGGAAGAAGGGCACCCCAGGCCGGGGCCACCTCCTTCACAGCTGCCTCTGCCCCTCCTCCCCTGTGGTGACCCGCAGGGCTCCAGGCCGCGCCGACGTCCCACGGATGAGTCCCAGGAGCCCAGCAGGTGACCGCTGGGGGAACGTGTCCCCACGGGGGTGGGGGGAGAGGAAGGAGACGTGGATCCCAGGAGGACTGGGGTAACAATGCCCGAGAGGTAACCGGCTCCTGAGGGAAGGCGGCCTTCACAGAGGAGGACTCGGGGTGAACCCCACGCCCCGCTCCTGCGGCCGGGACCGAACCGGGAAGTGCAGACAGACCGCAGACGGCGGGGGAGGAAACTGGACACACGCACCAGATGCCGAACCTCAGGCCGCAACGTCCGCTGTGAGGAAGACACAGAGACCCCCCCACAGCCGGCGACGCTGTCCCTTAGGGGCCAGCCACACGTCAGCGCCTCAGAAAGGTCCTCCCCGAGGGGCCAGCGTAAGTGGGTCCCGCTCTCTCCCCTGCACAGTCCCCGCCACTGCGCCTGTCACTACGAATGTACACGTCAGCGCCCCCTTCCCGCCGGCCGCGCGCAGGCGACCCTGGCCCGACGCACGCCCAGAGGTCAGGACAACCTAATGCTTCACACGCCCGTGTCACTGTCCTCCCTCCGCCCGTCCCCTGGGCACCCCTATCCCACGTCACGGCCGAGCCGAGAGGCAGGACCCAGCTGCCTTTTCAGAGAGGGAGACGCCAGAGGCCCGAACCTTTATGACAGGTCATCATGACTCTTCTATTTTATTTCTTGTTGTTGTTAGTCTCCTACTGTGCCTGCTTTATAAACTTTACCCTAGGTGTGCGTGCACAGGGAGGAACGGGGTACCCGGGGCTCATGCCCCCGCCCTGCCCCCACGCCCCCAACCTACCCTGCTCCCCACCCCCGCCCTGCCTCCACGCCCCCAACCTACCCTGCTCCCCACCCCCGCCCTGCCCCCACGCCCCCCAACCTACCCTGCTCCCCACCCCCGCCCGGCGCATCAATCCCACAGGAAACACTCGGGTCTGACAGGGTCTCCGGGGCCTCCTCTCCTCCCGTCCCCGTGTCTGAACCGTGTGCGATACACCTGTGTGCTGTTCTCTGCTCCTCTGTCCTTGTCGCCGTGACCGTCCCCAGCCAGCGCCCCTGGGAGGGTGAGGAATAAAGGTTCAGTTTCCTACAGAAGGAAGGGACGAAGTGGGAAGGGAGAGAAGGGGGGAGGGAGCCTCTCCTGCCTGACCCCCCAGAACAGAGAACCATCTGTGGGCGCAGACCGCAGAACATCACTGTTTCTGTGGGACGCTGGCTCCGTCGCTTGGCTGCTTCCAGGGGCACTTCCGTGCCTTGTGGGCCTCACTGGACACCAACACCCTTGTCTTTCATCTTCCTGGACAATCATTTGAGCCAACACTTCACTGACTTGGATTCACTTATTTGCCAAACCTCATTGTCCCAGAAGCACCCCTGAGAATTTCATGCCCCATGCTTTTCCCCCTGTGACCCTGTACCCCAATCGCACACCTATTTCAGCTCCCACAAATTCCCCAACCTTCACCTTTCTCAGAAAAAGATACATTTGATTGAGAACAGAAATGTCAAAATTATAATCTTCAACTTGGCCATGCTGGAGCCAGCCCTCGGCTCCATATGCTGCACCTCTGATCCCAAATACAGAGACTTAGCCTGGAAATTGCCGCTCAAGAAAAGATTTGCCTGCAGACGGTGGGTTCCCAGAGGGTGGGGACCGTCTCATCTTTATTGTCCCAATTCCTGGCACATAGATATTAGCTAATTCAACATCAGTCATTATTGAAGCATTCAATTATTTTTATTGTATCACACCAAAGTTTTCACAAAAACTTCAGGTCATTTAACATTAAGCTACCATTTGTCAAGCATCTCCTTCTGTTAGGGAACATCCCACCTAATTTAATCCCTGCAAGGTCGCTCTGAGGGACAGATTAGGACAATGAATGAAGGAGATTAAGTGATTTGCCCAAAGCTCAAAAAGCTGGTAGATGATGGAGCTGGTTTTCAAACCCAGACCTTTCTGACTTCGGATGAAAGTTAACAATCAATGATCTTCACTGACCGTCTCTGTGATTAATTAGAACACTCATTTGGACATAAGACCCCAAAAAAGTGATGGTGTAGCCTCAAGAAGACCCACAAAACGTAGCTGAGCTGAAATCATGAGCCCATCTCTTTAAGACTGAATTAGGGCTACACACGGTGACTTGCCTTTCCAATTTGAGATCAATATATTGAATTTGTTCACGGTTCCTCAGGAGAAGGGAGCTCACACATTTTCATCCTGCCCCAATGGGTAAAATGGCAAGGTAGAGACAGGTGCTTCAGACATGTGACATCACATATACCCTAGCAAATATGAATACCTAAAAATTCCCTTAAAAATGACACCTCTTGGGGCGCCTGGGTGGCTCAGTCGGCTCAGGTCATGATCACGTGGTTCATGAGTTCAGTCCCCCCTTGGGGCTTTCTGCTGCCAGTGCGGAGCCTGCTTGGGATTCTCTCTCACTCCCTCTCTCTCTGCCCCTGCCCCCCAAAACAAATAAACATTAAAAAATTATTTTTTAATATATATTTTTTTAATTTCTAGGAGAGAGAGAGAGACAGCGTGAGCAGGGGAGGGTCAGAGAGAGAGGGAGTCACAGACTGAAACAGGCTCCAGGCTCTGAGCTGGCAGTCAGCACAGAGCCCGACGCGGGACTCGAACCCACAAACCGCGAGATCATGACCTAAGCGAAAGTCGGACGCTTAACCGACTAAGCCACCCAGGCACCCTTAAAAAAATTTTTTTTAAGAAAGAAAACTGACCCTTCTTGAGCATAGGCAGTTTGCAGAAGCTGGAAACAAGAGTCGTAAGCAGAATGTTGACACTCGCTCTGCCCATCCACTACCTAAGAGTTTACTGATATTATATCACATCACCTCTTACATCTTAAGTCCAAGACGGAAACTGGAGCCCCCCAGGGCGACCCTGGCTCACTTTCTGGTCCCGACAGTGGTGCCCTCTATTCTGTACTACCTTCCACCCAAACTCCCACCAAAGCTATTAACTAACGAGTTGAATTAAAGAAGCCTGTGCCAGGTGCCAGGACATGCAGACTCGCTGTGGGGTACGGGTCAGGAACCTGGGGCACGGCACCCCCTCTTGGGGGGGCGGGGGTGTGAAATGCCTGGGGGCTGACCCAGCCCACCCCCCACACCAGGGGGCTGCCCACCCCCGTCCCCACACCAGGGGGTTACCCCGCCCCACCCCCCACACCAGGGGGCTGCCCCACCCCCGTCCCCACACCAGGGGGTTACCCCGCCCCACCCCCCACCCCAGGGGGCTGCCCACCCCCGTCCCCACCCCAGGGGGCTGCCCCTGTACCCCTGTACCTTGTGCCCCCACCCCTTCCCTACTAAGACCTCTGCAGCCTCCACTGCTCACTTCTAAAGTTACTAAAATCACCGCACCTATGATAGAATTCTACCCCAAAATATGTTGCCAGTTTAGAGGCAAACACGATCAGTAGTGAAAATCAGCACCGTCAGACAAATTGTTCCTTTGTAAAACTCCTGATTTCTCAGGTTAAAAACAGGCTGACACACACACACACACACAATTGTATAAATATATATACTTCTTAAGTATATAAGTATATAGTCAAGAAAAAGAAAGTATATAATCAAGAAAAGTAAATTTTATTTTAAAACATACATAAAAATTCCTTTTTACCCTTAAGTATGAAACACCCTTTTGGAACACACTTTTCATCTTCCTGCCATGTCTTGAAAATAAATTTAATTTTAAAATGCTCATTGTTGATAAATAGAGACCAAAACCAATCTGTACTAGAAAAGTCACAATTAGAATAATCGCTGCAGGCGTCAAAAACCTCGTAATTGAAACAGAAACTGTGAATGGGCCCCGCCGTGGGTACCCCGGTCTAGCCTCTGGAATTAATACTACGGAGACCCATAAAAGATTAATCAAGACCAGCGATCAATAACTTCTCAAGTGCTAATAAGCGCTGCCTTGTTCTGTGATGTGTTGAGCAGTTTATCATGTTTGGCCGTATGAAGATTTATAGAAAATCCATAGTTAAACTACAGGATGAGGTAATGCAGCACTTAGTAAATGAAGCCTGGTTACAACTTGGGCTTGATATCACGCATTCCCAAGATCTGCAGAAATCATTTTTGATGCCCCCTCCTTTTTTAGGAATCCGAGTTCGTCGAGTCACTTCACCAGCGTTGTCAGGGGGTGCTGGGGAAAAGTGCGTGCCGTTCCCTCAATCATCCACCCGCTCTGCAGTGGAAGGCAGTAAAATGCCTTGGAAATCAATGAAAGTGTTTCCTACTTCCTTTTTCATCCGAGGATCAACTTCTCATGGACATTTTTTGGGTTATATAAAATACCTCTTAGGACCATTTAGCTCTCTTCTTGTAAGCAAGCTGATGGATCAACAGGTCATGGGAGTAGGTAGGCTAATGGGTGATTAACGCTTCATACGCCGTGGGTCCTGACCGTTGGGTCACACCACTGAACTTCGCCCCACGGTAGGCTATTAATTAAAAACATCAAATTGTATGTTTTGTAAATTAATCTTTGAAGCAATATTATACCAAGAATATACCTAATCAAATAGATGGGCCACAGGGCTCTCAGACATTTGGAAACAGGAGCTAACTGTGAGCGATTACGCACAGGCACACGGCAGGAACGGGGAGGGGGGGCAGTGTCCAGTGTCCTTCCGTGTCAACAGTTACAAAGACGGTGAGATGCACAGAAGACAAAAATGAAATCACTAGGTGAGTCCAGGTGTAAAACGAAGATACACAGGGGCGCCCGGGTGGCTCAGTAGGTTAAGTGCCAGACTTCGGCTCAGATCATGATCTCATGGCTCATGAGCTCAAGCCCCCGCGTCGGGCTCTGTGCTGACAGCTCAGAGCCTAGAACCTGCTTCAGATTCTGTGTCTCCCTCTCACTCTGCCCCTCCCCCACTTGCCCTCCGTGTCTCTCTCTCAAAAATAAACATTAAAAAAACAAATAAATAAAATGAAGATATATAAAAAATGCAGACAAGGCCAAACATTCTTAATTAAAAATAAAGCTAGCCACCATTCCAAACCGGGAGATGATACTCTTTAAAGGAGATTACGTGAGAGATCGTTAAAGATGAAGAAATTTCCTAGGGGAAATTCTGCTATTTGTAATGCTTTCTGGTCCAATTACATTGTGATTTTTTTTTTAAGTCAGAAAATGTTGGTGAACAGCGAGATGCAAAAAGCCATGCTAACAACAGCTCCTTCCACGAGTGACCCCACGTGCGTGCCATCCATAACTGGCACACTCTTCATACCTTAGGCCACTTGTTACAATTGATTTGAAATTCCTCTTCCAGAAGGTCACTTGATTGGGTAGTTTCAATAGTGACAAATCTCTCTTTATTTACACCTGAATTCAGTGTGGGACTGGCCAGGAATCACACAGCCGGAAGCTGAGGGAGTAAGCAGGCTTTAGAACAAAGGGTGCGTTTCCATCTGCCCAGGGGACAAAAGCTGTGCGCAGGTAGAATGTCACTCATCGGTCGGAGTGCCTTGGCCCTCAAGCAACAGAAAAACTACCTGCAGTGAGAGACCGGCCAGAGCTGTCTGGGCCTCAAAGGTTTAAGGACAGCATGGTGAGCACAAAGGAGCCCCTCCCTCCAGGCGGGCACCCAGCCCTGACCTTGACTACGAGACCTCCATGAGCACATCAAGAAAGAAGCAGAGGTTTTCCATGACTCTCTCTTTGAAGAGAGGAAGGGCTTCTCCCAGCACCCGCGAAGCTCTCCTGAGTCCCGCTGGCCAGCCTGGGCCCCATTCCCATTCCTAAACCAATCCGTGGACGGGCTCATGGAATTATGCCTGGATGCTCAGTGAGGTCCTTGCCCAGGATGAGGGTCACTTCCTGCAGCGAAGGGATGCTCCATGGGCTCACCTTCTCTCCCGGGAGGGCACAAATGTGGGCTGACACGAATAATAAAAGCACAGGGCAGTGTTGTCACCAGTCAAGGCTGCAGGAGCCTCAAGAGCTGGGGTCACAGCCCCGCCTCGCTCTTTAATGCATCGTTAGTGAGGCAGGTGATTTTTATCACAACACCTATGCATCTGAGCCCTCCTGTGCCTGTGGTTAGTCGCCTGCTTACCTGGCAAGATCTGGTTCAGTGATTTAATTAAATCAGGAACTATAACTAATTATTAAGGTACAGTTCAAGGTCACTGCCTCATAATCATAGGATAATTATCCTTGCTGTGTAAATCACGTAATTTTGATGAAATACACAATTTACATGGCAGATAAACATTTAATTACATGGCAGTTCAATGTAATTATTATTAAGGAATCCATCAGAAAATAAAATCACTACCCAATGGGCTGTAATGATCGGCTCTATTCTGCCAAATGTTTCACACGGCTACTCACGTCTTTGTAAAAGATGATTCTAAAATAGCCGAGAGGATGAAAACACAAAAGAGTTTTTTTGTTTGTTTCCGGCTTCAGTCTTTTGGGTTTCTTCGCTGATGTCTGTTTTTACCAAACGGAGTCATAAGTCTTTTCATTAGGGTTCAATTCATGGAAATTTAGAAGACCACAAAAGGGGGGAGGGGGACAGTATGAGGGGAGAGGTGGGAAAAGAAATGAAAGATGAAGAAAAACCAGAAACAAACAAAATCTTAGATTTAAAATGTCTGAAATCAAGAACAATCAATCAACTTACTGAATCAATACAGTAAATGGCTGAAGAGGCAAAGGTTCCATTGAAGATTTGTCGCTAACTTTTTCAGAATTTCAGGATGCGAAAAAGACTTTTCCACCTTCTCCTCAATAGGGGCGACTGGTAACCAGATTAGCACAAGCCTCTCTTCATTAAACCTATTGCCAGAGGGAAGCTCTGGGCTCACCAGCCCCATCTTTTTAAGGAGCCAAAAACACATCATTTTCATCATGGATTCAGTCTTCCAAAAAACAGGAGCAAAACCAGTTTCATTAGAAAAAAAAATCTGTGACTAATTGCGGGTATTCATGCCCATTTGGACGAGTTTTTTAAAAATTACAATCTAGGGGCACCTGGGTGGCTCAGTCGGTTAGGGGTCCGACTTCGGCTCAGGTCATGATCTCAGGGTTCGTGGGTTCGAGCCCCGCATCGGGCTCTGTGCTGACAGTTCAGAGCCTGGAGCTGCTTCAGATTCTGTGTCCCCCTCTCTCTGCCCCTCCCCTGCTCACACTCTGTCTCTCTCTCTCAAAAATAAATAAACATTAAAAATTTAAATAAAATAAACATAAAAAATTTTTTTAATTACAATCTGAAAGCAAACACACTACAATCTAAGAACTGGCTCAGACGGACCGCCTCCGCCTACTGCCGTGTGTTACCACTTCTGTCCCTGCTCACGCCCCCCAGGCCTGCGACACGTTTCACGCAGTGTCACCTTCCACACCGTGTCACCCACTTTGGTCCCACAAGTTCTGTGCGCTGGCGGGACACTGCTCCTCACTGCAGACGCAGGAAATGGGCCGGGTAACCCAGAATTGTTCAAACTGAGGAGAGAGAAGAAAGGCGGGCGCAGTGGGGTCGCAGAAGGGAGGGCACAGAGGATGGCGGCGGGTGGGGGGCAGCAGCGTGAGCCTCCCCAGCAGGGACTCCCACCTCCCTCCCCCCCCCCAGAACCCACACTGCCTGCCTGAACCCCCCGCCCCGCCAGCCCCCGACTCCTGCCTCCACTTCTCCACCCGGGGGCCTCGAGCAGAGGGGACGGAGCCTGCGCTCGGCCGGGCCCGGGCCTCACGGGGGGCTGCGCGGCCTGGGGCCCGCCTCACGTGCGCGCTGCTGTGCTGCCGTGTTTCCTGAACCTCCAGAGCCAGCGTGGTAGCGGCGGCCCTGCATCCGCGGGCCAGAGGCCATCATCACGCTTCCGTCCGTGGCCTCCCACCCTCACACTCTGGTCCCCCCGGGGCGGCCACTACTGTCCCCGTCACGACACAGTCCTCCTTCCTCCTTGGTTTTGGGGGCAAGTGGTCCGGCCTCCACCCCGAGGTCTCCCCTCCGTTACCCGACACTCAGCCCCCTGCATTTCCTCCTTCCTGTGGCCGCTCCTTGGCCCAGCTCGACTACATTCAAGGGACCATCAGATGGCCCTCCACCAATACCCCATTTCCACGGACCCTCCGGGGCTACTTCTAGAAGCTTCCCTAGCTCCTTCCTTCTCTCTACACTCCTCTCCAATCAGTTACCACCCCTGGTTTCCAGCCCAGGATCCTACCACTCGCGCTCACACCACTGCTCACGCTCACACCACCGCACACACTCACACCACCGCTCACGCTCACACCACCGCTCACACCTGACCGACGAGCCTTCACACCGTGTCTTCCCAACAGACTTACCTTCCTCAAGGCGCTGCTGTGCTTCTGTAACTCCACCTCAAAATCACTCCGCAAAGTCGTCTTCATCTGAAGTTCAGGTGCACAAAATCCCGTCACCTCTAGTCGGGAGGACCCAGCCTTCAAGCATCCCCATCTGTTCGGGCCTTGGCCATGTAACTGTCTTTGAGCTCCATGATGCACACACACTACACATGTTCCTCTCCGAAAGCTGGTTGAACTTACTGTCACCTTCGCACATGCGGTATTTAGTTAAGTATGACAGAGCGGTTTTATCCTATTTTTTTGTCCCCGCCAATTAAATGGTTAAGCTAAAGTTTATTTTTCATGATTCTTCTTGCTGGACATATAGTAGGTATTCAATAGCCATTAAATATTATTTTACTCCTTCAACAACTATTTGTAGAGAACTGCGCTGTCACTGGCATTGCACTGGGCACCGAGCTACCCGACGGTGTCCAAGTCACCCCTCCCAGCAGGAAGAGGCTTCAGTCTGCTGTGTGTGACACAGAAGTTCACGTGCCACAGGGCCCAGAGGAGGAAAACCTCAGACTCGGGGAGCATGAAAGGGAGACGTGTTTAAATACCCTACAAGGTAAATGATCCTTTGTATCACCTTCTCTGGATCAGAAAGCCACCTCCCTTCCTCACCCAGGTGACACACGCATGTACAGGCACACACACACACACACACATGCACTCATGCACGGCACACACACGCCTTTCATCCTAACACATTCATGTTCTTCCTTCTTCATGGCCTTATTCCCCATGGACCATTGCTATATATTAACATGAAATTTCTGGGGCGCCTGGGGGACTCAGTCGATTAAGCGTCTGACTTCGGCTCAGGTCATGATCTCGTGGTTCATGAGTTCGAGCCCCGCGTCGGGCTCTGTGCTGACAGCTCGGAGCCTGGAGGCTGCTTCAGTTCTGTGTCTCCCTCTCTTTCTGCCCCTCCCCCACTAATGCTCTCTGTCTCTCAAAAATAAATAAACGTTAAAAAAATAAAATGAAACTTCAAGGATTTATAAAGTATGTGCCTTAGCATGGGGACCCACCAAACCCTTCTTTTCATGTGTCTTTTTCCCTAAACAAAATTTTGAGTACGTATTATATTATCTTTAATTTGAGTTACTTAAACTTTGGACAGTTAATCGTCTATAAAGCGTGATCACCATGAGCGATTCCTTCAGCTTCACTTCTGTTACGCCTGTCCGTGTAACATCACCGTCTCCACACCGTCTGATCTTTTTCTGGTCAGAGTGCACTCTATTCCCTGTTCCTTGTGTGCTCTGATGTTGACTTTCTAGAAAATCTAAGGGAAAACCTCAAGAGCATAGACACCGTCGCTGCAATGACATAAAACTTCCTCTGCGCTCTTTCCTCTAGAGGCTCCATAGGTAACCCCTAAAATAACATACACCTTCTCCTCTGTGCTCCACTCTCGATTCCTCTTACGCGCTTCTGCTTATTGTAGCCTTCTCGGTTTCTGCTTTTCCCCAAACAGTGGACAGGGACCACGTTTTCTGAAATGAGAAAGACTAATAGAATCATAGGTTAAAATGGAGAGAAACCAACCATTAGATGTGAGTCATTAACTGTGACACGCCCTAGAGATGGCAGAGTGTAAGTGAGAAGACACAGCTGGATAATCCCCTCTAGAGCCTAGAGCCAGGGAGGGAGACGTGGGCTGGAAATAGCAACGTGGGGGTCGGAGGCACAGAGATAATATACAGACACTAAATGTTCCCACCCACACCCTAGGATAAATCAGTATGCACACATAAAGAAGGAAAATCACAAGTTCTACTTGAAAGTTCTCTTATGAGCAAATCTGGTTGTTGGTGTAAAAAAACCTAAAAAGTAATAGCCAAAACGTACAGCGGTTACATTAATTTTTATGCACAATTTTGAAAATCAGAAATACAACCAAGTAAAATACCACGATTTTTCAAAATCTCCAGATCCATATTACTTTAATCTAGAGTATCTGCAGTGAAACACAATTAACAGCAGCAAGAAACTACCTTGTTTAGTAACGACATGGTACCAAACTGCAACATTTCGTAACTGCACAGCAACATAGTTGTGACCACACTCACCAATCCAAGGCCACCGGAGGGTGACTCACATTGGCCGGGGGGGGGGGCGGTTGGCAGTGGTGGGGGCATATTTTTGGACAGGTGAAACAGATTTCAACCACACAGACCTAATAACCCGAATACAAACCACACTGCACCAACACCTTTCTGATAAGAGTTTACAAAGTGAAAATCAAGCTTTGTTGTGAAACTTCAGGGACCATCCCTGACACCCACTGGAAGGAGACAGAAACTTTGCTCTGAAAAATGCCACCTGTGCCGTGTGGCAACAAACTGAGGTAGGTCGCACAAACAGGAAATTCATGCTTCTTCCACAAGCAAACACCTTGGACACAGTTTATTCTGGATAAACCAATAGACTCTGTGAATGGACCACGTGTCAGTTACCCTGTATTCAGGGTGTAGACGCACTTCCTGCACAGGACTTACCTCCACTGGATCAATGACTGTACCATTTGCTAGGCGTGCCCGTGTCCTAGACCATAGTTTAGAAACCCCCTGAGGTCAAGAGCTGCTTCTTTCTCGTTCACTTCAGTGCTCAGTGCCCAGCACACAAACCTTGTTGACTGAAAAACACAAGTCAGCCAAGCTGCATGGGGCGGGAGCTGCGGAGGACATTTAAGGAAACACATCACAGCATCCCTGACCCCAAGGGGCTCACAGACCGCGATGGGAGGAGACATCACAAAGGATTAGACCAAAGATTACTTACAGGACAGATTAAATGTGGGGTAAATGATAAATCAACAATTTAAATAATAATTTCCATATGCATTCTACATGTCACTATGATATACATCTTTGCGTACAACTATATTCTTAAGCAACACTCCCAAAACTGCAAGGATTTGGTAGTATTCTGCAGGAAAATAACATTAACACCTTTGTTTGCAAATACTAATAATAATTGTTTAACAACAGTAATATTTGGGATCTCCTAAGCAAACTTCCTGGTTTAAATGTTTACAAGATATTTTAATAGAAACATTATTAAAATGTATGGGAAAAAAACCAAAGAGAAAGAACTTTAAAACACTTCCCTACCACTCAGTAATTGTTATCCCTCCAGTACGTAGGGAGCTCACAGTTTTTCCCTCCTGCTCTTCAACCAAAAAAAAGCTGAACAAATGGACATTCAATGACCTTTCTTTTTTTTTTTTTAAATGTTTTATTTATTTCTAGGAGAGAGAGAGAGAGACAGCATGAGCAAGGAAGGGTCAGAGAGAGAGGGAGTGACAGACTCTGAAACAGGCTCCAGGCTCCGAGCTGACAGTCAGCACAGAGCCCGACACGGGGCTCGAACCCACAAACCGCGAGATCATGACCTAAGCAAAAGTCGGACGCTTAACCGACTAAGCCACCCAAGCGCCCCTCAATGACCTTTCTTGAATCGACCAGAGATTTGAGGTCACAGGGCAAACCACTGTCCTGAACGCAGGAGACACAGAGGAATAAAGAGAATCACAGTAAGACCACCTCACCCGGAGTCCTTGGCTGGTAGGGACACTTAAATGGTGATTTTGATGAATTGCTAGCAACTACACATGGACTAGCTTGAGAGTGAGAAATTCCTGGGGCCACAGCTCTAGGGGGCCCCACACTT